CCCTAAGCCCTAAAGCCTAACCCGTAGACCCCAAACCCTAAAGCCTAAACCCTGGTAGCTCCTAAACCCTAAACCCTGAAGCCAAGACCCTGAACCCTAAACCCTAAACCTGAAACCCAAACCCTGAACCCCAAACCCTAAACACGAACCCTAAACCCTAAATCCTGAAGCCAAAACCCTAAACCCTAAACCTTGAAGCCAAGACCCTGAACCCTAAACCCTAAAGCCTAAACCCGAAGAAAGGGATGCAGCTTCAGCCTCGAGGGTTCTGCGTGACATCCCCAAAGACCCCAAGACGCCCATACTTCAGGAATATACGGTTTAGGGAAGAGGTTTTAGGGTTTAGGGTTTAGAGTTTAGGATTTAGGGAATAAGTTTGAGGGTTTAGGGTCCAGAGTTTAGGGAGAAGAACTTACGGTTCAGGGTTTAGGGTGGCTGAAATCCTAATAAGACTCCCTCTAGACTTCTTTGAAGTTAAGGTAAATAGAAGATCTTAGTAAGGACGCGATACGAAGTCAGGATACAAGGATGCAGATGCAGTGTGAGCAGGATGGGAGGGTAAAATAGGGGGTAGTATTTCCTCCCCCCCTCTCTCCGTTCCTCCTGCATGTGCTGGTTTAGGGTTTAGGGCTTAGGGGTTTAGGGGTTAAGGATTCAGGGTCTAGGTACATTGCGGGCATCGCCTATTGGTGGGGGTTTCGTCCTGTGTGAGTTCGCCGCTGTGGGCGTTGCAGCTTGGTGCATGGACAGAGAGCTGCGCCCTTGTGACGATGTTCCCCAGCCGGGGTTTCCGGCAGCAATCCTTGGCGCGCGGTGTGAGGCGGTGGCCCTTGTGAAGACTCTTCGAGTCCATGCGGTTCAAGAAACCCTAAACCCTAAACCCTAAACCCGAGGCTAGTCGTGGACGCAGGCGAGGTTGGACTTGAAGCTGGCCCTGCAGAATCCTGCAGAGGCGGTTTAGGGTTTAGGGTTTAGGGTATCCATCGCACCTTGGGCCACGAAACTGGGAGGAGAGACCCAGCTCAAGCAGCGGCGTTGCCGCAATGCGGTTATTGAGGCTCAGCCTCCGCTTGGCAACCTAATTCAGGAGGTGGTTTACGACCGCCGCTTGCACAACTGCGACCCGAAAGCCCAAACCCTAAACCTTTAAACCCTAAACCCCAAACCCCCAAACCTAAACTCTGTAGTACCCGTATAGATCCCTTATAGGAACCCTTATAGTTCCTTCAAAGACACCCTGAACCCTAAGCCTCAACCCTACACCCTAAACCCGAAGCCTTAAACCTTAAACCTTAAACCCCAAACCCGCTTGAAACCCTAAACCCCGCAGTACCCGTATAGATCCTTGATAGGAACCCTAAAAAGATCCTTTACAGGAGCCCTAAACCCTAAACC